CTGGTGGGGCTGGGCCTTGAAGTCTCTGCTGTGGTCCTCCTTGAGGGGGTGGGCCTTGAGGTCTCTTTTGTGGTCCTCCTTGTGGGGGTGGACCTTGCTGATTCCCATTAGCAGGTGGTCTTGGTTGGAATCCTGAAGGAGGTGGCCTTTGATTGGGGTTCTGGTTTTGGTTCTGTAGTTCTGAGTAATAAATTTAAATAATAGATGAGGATTGTCATACCTGAATTTTTCTTTTTTTTCTCAATGGACTTTTCACACTGCATCTTTTCTAGACAGCATCCTTTTTATGGTTTCAAGAAAAGCTCCTGTTAAACGATGGTGTTTGGTTACATGTAACTAACTACACATAATGCAGTTTCCAGACTTCAGGAGCAACTTCTTGGACAAATTAAAATAAAAATATCAATAGAAGAAAAAGTTGAAGAAGTATACCAGGGGAGAAAGATTCTAAAGATCACAGACCATTCAGTATTCACTGAACAAATTCATCAGATGTTCAACAATCAATGGGCAATGGGCTCAATACTTGTCTTTGAAGATAGTTTCACAAAGAAAGGGACACTAGCACTTTGTCTATTTTTCCTGCTGAAATAATCTTAAGTAGAAGCAACAAGGAGTTGGATGTAGACATTGAGGAAATCTTTTTTTCATAAAATTATAAAAATCAGCTCATTGCATCTGAACTCTATCACAAAGCATCCACTCCTATGATGTAGAAAAGGTATATTGCTCCACTTTTTAGGGGATTCAGACAAGTAGCTTATTGTAATTTCTTACCTTCACCTTAAATGTGCTTTATTGTCAAAGTGGAAGAATTTTTGTCTGAAACTTTGTGAAACTTATATTCATTAATTCGTTAAATGTGAAATGACAATACAGGAAAGAATTATAAAACCCTCTCCTTACTAAAGACAGATAGGGATATTAAATATTTGATGGTGTAGAGTGAAAAATTATAGATACTGGGTATATAGAATTCTTTTTAGACATATAAAATATTCTTTAGGCTTTCTTTATAAAGACATGGAGAAACTGAGCCATGAATCAAGTTAGGAATGTGGAAAGACCAGTCACCATTACTGGAACTGGCCTATCTGCAAAGAGAAAGGAAAGAATGCAACTGAACTAGGTGGAACCAAGCTGGGAACCAAGCTGAGAACTGCAGTGACAGGGCAAGGCCACAGTGACAGGGCAGGACCACATTCTTGAGAAAGATAAGCGTACAGAGAGTTTTCACCTTATCCTGACTTATGTAGGTTGGGTTCCTTTGGAGTGTTCCACTATTTTTATGTTATGCCACCTCAACAACCCCTCATTCCCCTCCCCATTCCTTGGTTTGTGGTTTTCCCCCTTAAAAATCCCTCTCAAACTGGCTGTCGGGGTCAATTCAGCTCCTGCCTGGGCATATGAATTGACCGGCAGCTAGCTGTCATGCCCTAATAAACCTCGCAATTGCTCCGGTACATGGTGTCTCGAGCAGATTACTGGGTGGTCACGAATTTCTGAGACTTGAGAGAGGATCTCCCCTCTGCGGAGGTCTTCAATGGTATTTGCTTGATATTATTGGGAAACAGTGTTGACAAATAGCCATTATGAAGCAAATAAAAGGATAGACTCAAAACAGAGTTCATACAAGCAACTAGCATCCTACATGTGGGCAAGAGATTTTAGATACAATCTGTCATTTCCTGAAGGAATATTGAACTACTGTTAGTAAAATGACCAGCTAGGAATAATTTGGAGCATTTCTGGTGACTGTTTTGCTGAGTGTCAACTGTTAAGTTAAAACAAAAAAAATTTTCTTTGGGTGCCTCCATTTTACTTAGAATCTGGGGGCTTATACAAATAAGTCACACACACTCACACACACACACACACACACACACATATATATATATATATATATATATATATATATATATATATATATTCTATCTATTTATCTAACATCTATCTATCCATTTTTCAATCTGTGTAATTTAAAAATATCTCTCACATCCTTATTTAATTCTTATCTTCTAACTTTCTGTTTTTTCAAAGAAAAGAAATATGAATAAACATTTGATTAAATGATTAAACACACACTGATAATACATTGGAATGTTGAATGAGTGTGGAAAAATAAAAACTAAGAAGATGTTATTATTTTCCTCCATAATTGTCTCAGAGTTATTATTTCAATTGCCATCTTTCAAATGGCTCTTATGTTTGTTTCTCTTTTGTCATCCCTTGACAAACAATTCAGCAAGGGTACTGGAACATGTCGGTTATTTTAACTACCACAGTATCTTCAAATATGACACTATCCAATTTTAAAAAGGAAAACACTGGATGGTCTAATTCATCCCTCAACTCCTATCCTTTTTCCAATCTCTCTCTTCCCCTGCAGGATTGTCTTCTGTTCTTTAAAAAGACTCACAGCACCCACACCTATATTCTCATACCTTGACCTTGTTCCTGAGCAGAGCTCAGGGCCAGCAGGACCACCGTGAACAGAACCACCAGCATCTTGGAAGAGGCTCTGGAGTTTCTCCCAAGTCTGTGCTGGGAGAAGCAGAGCACTGACTTTATAAGGAGGAGCAGAAGAATGGCCCCTTTGAAGTCCATACTAGGTCATTTCATTCTTAACAAAACAGGAAATCTTGCATCCTTTACTCCACACTGGGACTTTTGCCCAGCAGGATGAAGTAAGGAATAGCTGCCAGTGTCCCTATTCTAAATGGTACAACAATAAAAATAAATTAGAGACAATCATGTGTAAGAGAGCAGCCCAGACATTGAAGTTAAGGAATATCAATATACGAATATCTCTTTATATTTGCTTACATTATCGGTGTATCACTGTACATTTGGGTAGGACTAGTATGTATACACATTTGTTTATATTGCCAGTAATATTTTCCATCCAAATTGAATATGGTCAATTTCTCTGATCAGTAGATAACCTTAAACACTATCATTTATATGTTTCCTTATGTTTACTAGAGTTAGTTAAAGGCAGGTGGTGTTGAGGATATGCATATACAAATTTCAATGACAAGACAGTTGTAATCCTTAAGATACTAAGCCTAATAAGAGTGCCCTCTAATTTCTTGACCTAACCCAATAGCAACAACATTGGCTAGTAAAACGTGAGACATATTACATCTCTAAAATCCAAGTAAAAATGCTATCACAGCATATATGATGTTAACATGAGTCAGTATCTTGAATCTGTAATTCAATGATGAATAATTTGACCATTTTACATTTTGAAGGTCAATAGAGAGCTCCACTTTCCAAATTGTTCTATTTCAGTTGCTTAAGGCTAGAATTATGAAGCTGATTATAGTGGCAATTTTCTTGTTCCCATCAGTGGGAAAAATGTAGACAGTTATCATTGTTTTCAATGTCAGCAATAGGCTCAGGCCTCAGAATGTAATTCAGCACAGATTATGTGTAACTTTCTGAGAGCAATTGATCTCAAAATGCTCTTTCTGTTCTGAATATATATTCTTTTCATTTTTATTATTACTCAGTCCTTGATTTTTGTACTTCATCTTATTCTTGAACAGCTTTAAGGGACCCATATAGAATTCTTTAACTTTTATTTTCACACTAACCATATTTGAAACATGGGCTGGTCATGCTTATGTTTATTTTTGTCTATTTCTATCATAAAAAATGTTCACAAGACGCTTTCTTTCCAAATGGTTTTTTTTTTTTTTTTGCGTGCCTAACATTTTTACTTAAATAAATCCTGCATTTATTGTTATGTCTCAACATTTCTTTTTCTTTTCTTGGAAAACTTTTATTTTTAACAATTCTCAACTCAGGATATCTGTAGAGATTTCTGTATGTTCCTTATGTTTAGTAGAGTGTATGTGGCAATTTTGCTCTTCTTCTTTAGAGGGAAGTTAGATGGAGCCACATAACAGATAAACCTAGACTTGTGACACTTGTGAGTTATGGGTCACTAGGTTCTGTGCTATGCCTGTGAATGACAGTCAGTTCTTTTTTCACCTGCATGTGGAGAATCATGGAGGAATGCTCCCTCTTCAAGGACTATGTATGCTACATGGTATGAGACCTTTAATTAAGGGCAATGTCATTGTAATATTTGTGGGATGATTAGACCTGTACTCTATGGAAACTTTACTTACAGTTTACCAATAACTTTTGGTTATGCTGAAAAATGAACTTTATTTCATGTTTTGTGAAATTTATGAGAAACAGTGTTTTCTTACACCAGAATGTATTGTCTATTCATCAACACACCATGGGCTGTAACTTCCACAAAAACTAAATAGCAAGGGAGCCTGATGGTAATTTGTCCTGTCCCAGTTGTCACAGAAAAGGAGCATAGTCAAGAATCATGCAATGTGCTAGCTAGAACTGAGTGTTGTCATGTTTGGATAGTCAGCCTCTTCCTTGACTTTTTGAAAACAGAAACATATCTGTTGATTCTTCTAAGTATCACTCAGTTCAGGACATTTTACTGACCTTCTCAGTTCCAGAATGTGTGAAAGAGATTAGTGTATCCTTAAAGAAAAATATCAGCTGTGACCTCAACAGGCACAACTGAGGCAGGAAATATAAAAGAGCTGAGGGTGTGTTTAATGCCTTAAAGAGAACTATACCTTCCCTTACCTCATATAAATAATGTTGAACCATGTTACCATAATGAACACATTCTCCACTCCTTAGAATATACATCTATATTAGTATGAATATTCATATTTATATTTTTACATAGGTTTCTTAATATCACATATTTAACATCATATCAAGTATATACAAAGATGTTATAAACTTAAAATTTATGATTTTTTATTTTAAACCTATTCCACTCACTATTAGTTTGATATGGATGCAAAGTGAAAGCTTCATATCATGTGGCACAAATACACATTTCCACATGAACGTTTTGTCTTCAGTCCTGCAAAAATATGGTGTATGAACCAAGTGCTTCAGAGAACTTTATCTTCATGGCTTTCTCTTTGATCATATGTGGTTTACATTGTGCATGTATGGGGCTATGTCATCTAATACACATTCCTTATAAAGATAGTCAATTAAATTTGACTGGTTATTTTTTGCTTTTTTTCATTTATATTTTAGCAATTATCATATGTTCTTTGAATGTTTGATTCATGTATACAATGCCTTTAATCATGCTCACTTATTTCTCTCTCCTATTTTCCCTCACCAGTCTGATGTCTCCCTCCTCCCTACAGGTCCTTTCTTAAAATTCATACCTTTCTCTTATTTTTATTACTCACAGCTGAGTTTCATCAGAGCTATCATGTGATATTGTGTGCAGAAACATCCATTGGAGCCTGATGACCTGACTAGTGTATATGCAGCTAAAAACAATGAATCACCCCTGTCTAAAATCCACCAGTATCCACTGAACCCATAGAGGTTTACTGTTGTGAATAGTCCTGGTCTTGTATTTTAATACTAATTCCACTTTCCAGGGAGGGGCTGCAGACCAAGGAGTGAATCATTATACAGGTGACTTTGTAACCTTCTGCCCACTATAATTTGTAAAATAAAGGCTAGAGCTGATGACTTGGCAGTGGAAGAGGTAGGTGGAGCTAAGAGTTGGGAACAAGAATGAAGGAGAAGGAGGAGGAGAAATCCTGGCTGTGGATGTCCACATGTCTCTAGCAGTGTAATGTTAGTTAAATGGGTTAACACTTCTAATTATTTGGACATTTTGTGTATTGAGTATTTGCTGATATATAAGTTTATTGGATACCCTTAAGCATTAAAAGTCTTATTTCTACTGAGTTCCAGGACAATAAGGGATATTGTCTTGGATTGAGTAGAACACTATGAAGGTGGTAGACCTGGCCCAAGGCCCATGCTTAGAGCCATGGTATCCATGGAACTTTGATTGGCGGAGGCAGCAGCTGCATCAACATCTCATGGGTCCCGAGCATGAACATGGCATCCAGGCCCGAAGCTAGCCAGATGCAGCTGTCTATTCTAACACTTACCACTACAGTTGACTCTAGAAGACTTGGTCAAGATTAAGTTAAGTCTAAATGAATGGGGGCAGACATCAATGTTCCATGTCTATTGGTAGTTAATGACTGCTTGTGTATGGGCATATTAATTTTCTTGAGAAGTTTGACTGTTGGTAAGTTGCCTATTGTCCACTGGATGGCCTCAAATCCACTAGAATACAGGCAACATGAATTAGGCTTGGTGGAAGATAAAATTATAATAATGTGAGGATGTGATGTTTAGGAGGAGACATGTTGAGGATCTAGAGATAGTGACTGTAAAGAAATATTCTTGATAATGATCAAAATACATCATGACTATCTCAAAGAATAAATAATAACTGTTTCATTTGTTCTGAATTTTATTTTACATATATCCTCATATTTAGCTGACTGCCATGTCCCCTTCAATATATCCCCTTTCCAGCTTCCTGCTCTCTCCAAGTGTTCCAACTTAAATACAACCATCATTTAGAAGTTATGAACACCTTAAGAGAGCAAAGATGGTATTTGACTCCCAGTGCTGGGTCATTTCACTCAGTGTAAGTTTTATCAGTAATATTTCTCTATTGCAAATTTTGTAATTTATTTTTCATTAGTTCTGAATAGATTTCAATTGTGTGTGTGTGCCACATTTTCATTACTCTTTCAGAAGTTGATGTAAACTTAGTCTGCTTCCGTTTCCCAGCTATTGTAAGATGGCAGCAATATACATGGGTGTATATCTCTATCAGAAAGTATAAAAGTTCTTTGCGTATATGCCTAAAAGTGTTTTAAGTGTGTTGCATGATAAATCTGCATTTAACATTGTCAGGAATCTCCAGAGATGTTCATTTTCTTTAATTACTCAGGAGACAGCAGAGTCTCCAAACACAGCTACTGCCTGAGGCATGAGACTTTAATAATTTTCTGTGATCACCATGATCAACAAGCTGAATTATATTCCATCATACATTTCAGTCATATTTGCCCTAATTATTTTTGTTTTAATGATTTTCAAAATCATAAATGTTATTTCAGGATACTCATTTTTTCTAACTACTTTCTCTTACTATAACACATGACTCTATCTTCCATTTGTATGGCAATATAACCCTTTGAAAATCAGTAACTCATTGCTTCATCTCTCCTCTGGAGGGCTAAGTCTTCTCTAAACCTCTATAACACAATTATTTTCTACCGCATACACTGTATTTGCTTTCATTTGCCACAGACAACTTTCAGTAGAAGCAGAATACTAAGTGGCTTACAACCTACTAACTGTTTTCCTAAATATATATATTTCATATTTCATTTTCTTTTGAAGTAGAAACTTAATGGGTCTTTAGAGAGTCAGTTGTATTTAATGTAATTTTGCTGGGGCAAACACATGTAGGAGTTTTTTCCCTGAAGTGGTCACACGTGAAATACTAGGGCTGACTTGTCCAGAAGGAATGTTTTCCTGAAGCAGACACAGGAGTGAGGATGTCCTACTAAAGCATACACAAGAAAGTGCATGTGATTAAGTATTCTTTACCAACAAAATGCATGTATAGGCTACCTCAAATTTTGTAGTTGAGCTCTTTTGTCAGGACTTCGTAGAGAGAAATGCACCAAAAAACTTCTGGTGGTGTC